AGAAGTGATTACTGGGTCTTTTTTTACGTGGGGTCCCAGCGGGTTAAGACACCATTCCAGTTAGGGTTTAGGGTTACAGTGAGGCTTAATCGTGGGCTGAGGCTTGGCATGAGGGATTTCGCGCTTCAGGGTGCAGATTTTCCTCGTGATCAGACTAGGTTCGCATGAGTGCTGCTCACATGCTGAGGCATGGGAATTCGGAATGTCTCAGGTCAACTGATGCAATCTCAAGTGAAGAATCCCTTTACCAGTTATCAGCCTCTCTAAGTGCGCACATGATAGGAGTGTAGGTCGACATGGCTGAATGGCTTGTGCTACCCAAAGCCCCCCCCCATATATTTGGGCACTGGGACCTTTTGGGAATTATAGTAGCGCCCCTGGACTGGGGTCCGCATTTTTTAGTCGTCGTCATCGTCGTCGGCAGCAGGAGCAGGAGCAGGAGGAGGAGGAAGAGGAGGAGGAGGAGGAGGAGTAGTAGTGGTAGTAGTAGTGGTAGCAGCAGCAGTAGCAGTAGTAGTAGCAGTAGCAGTAGCAGTAGTAGCAATCGTCGTCGTCGTCGCCGCCGGCGTCGTCGTCGTCGTCGTCCTCGTTGTCGTCGTCGTCGTCGTCGTCGTCGTCGTCGTCGTCGTCGTCGTCGTCGTCGTCGTCAGGGTGGTAGCAATAGTAGTACTAATATTCGAGAGTCTGTACCCTAAACCCTTTTCAGCAGGTCAGTGAGGCTTGGAAGCAAGCATTGCAGAAGCTGCAGCGGAGTTTTCGGAAGTTCCGCTGCTGCCGGCACCTGCCTAGCGGCGCTACCCCTCCCGCCGAAGCGGCTACAGCCAGTTTCATGGAAGTGTTGTCATTTTCCAGCAAGCTAAACGAAGGCCCAAACCCTGAAATGCTCAGGAGTGACTTTGAACCTGGTAATTCGCCTACATAGGGGGACCCACTATAGACTCCAACATAGTCTCTGTTATAGGCAAGTACCCACGGTACCCGCAAAAAGGTAGCCCCTCAGTTTACGGAAACAGTTGTATCTTTGCGGGCCGAATACAATAACCCATTATAGTAATTTCCATTTTCTTTTCCATTCCCGCATTCCCGCCCTGAGCCCTAAATCCTAAGCCCTAAACCCCACACCCTAAACCCTAAACCCTATAGTGGTTTCAATTTGATTTTCAGGTAAGTGATGGAATTTCGGGAGCTGAGACCGTCGCTGCGGGTTCCGCCTTATCTTCTGCAGGGCTGCCTCACGAAGGCGATGCCTAGGGTTTAGGGTTTTGGGGCTTAGGATTTAGGGTTTAGGGCTCCCAGTTACCTATAGAGGGTCTACAGGGTTTGCAATTTGGGTTTAGGGTTTAGGGTTTTTTGCTCCGAGTTACCTAAATAGTAGGTTACTGGGCCATGTAACTATAGGGTATATAGAACCCGTTCCCATTATTTAGGTAACTGGAGCCCTACCCTAAACCCTGAACCCTAAACCCTAAACCCTAAACCCTGAATGAACCCTGAACCCTAAACCCTGTATTTAAGTAACTGGAGCCCCAGGGGATGCTCATCTTGAAGTACGTGGCAGTTCTGCTCAGCACCAGCAGCTCTTCCATGCAATGATTCCAAGCTGCTGTGGAATGTTTTTCTTTGGCCTCATTGGGGTAGTACTAGAGGTATGTTGGGGTTATATTAGGGTTACATGGGGGTTATATGAGGATAATGGAAAATAAGATGGAAACAGCTATTTAGGGTTTAGGGCTGTAGGGTGTAGGGCCTAAACCCCAAACCTACACCCTAACTCTGAACGCGAAACCCTAGGTTCTTTGGGATGTCTAGATCTTTAACAGTCGGGCAGGAAATCCAGTTGCATACCTGCTAAGATTTTCTTGCAGTCTGCTTAGATTAGAGGCTGTGTTGGGTTTAGGGTGTAGGGTGTTGGGTTTAGTGTTTACAGCTTTCATCGGCTTAGAATCCTGCCCCAAGAAGTGTGTGAGGTTCTTGAAGGTCATTGACCTAGCTAGTAGTTGTTAATCCCTCCGTGCTAATGCTAGGCACCGCCCCACGCATAATCTGAAGCATTGCCCACAAATACCTTGCAGTATTGGGTGGCACATTTTGGAGGTTGGGGGGCGCGGTGGTTGCTTAATATCAGCCCCATTTGTAGTCAGCTTCCATGCCTTCCTTGTACCCAGAGATTCCCACAATCAGATTCCCACGAAGCCCTAAACCCTTAACAAAGAACATAATAGAGGAATGAGTGGCTCCTACTCGATCCAGCGGAGAAGCTGGAGAGACTGTGCCAGGCAGTCTGAAATGCGTTCAGGTTTTAGGGTTTAGGTCTAGGGGTTCCCCTAAACCCTAAACCCAGAAGCTAGGGTTGTGAGCTGATTACTCCAACAAAAGAGATACAAACGGACACAAGAACGGACCATGGGAATGGTAGGTGGGATTTCATCGGCTTATATAGGAAGTGAATGGGTCGTAGGTTGTTTGTTGGAGGTTCCTTTTGTACAGGCCCTATAGTTTGGAGGGTGCAAAAGGGGAACACTGTTTTGAGAAATAGAGAACTGGGCTTGTTGCACCCTGACCCTGAAACGAAACCTCAACCAAAAATCCAAAACCAAAATCTTAGTCCCTCAACCTGAACATCCCTGGAGGCTTCTCAAAGGAATCTCCCCCATGACCCGTACCAGCACGCTTAGGCTGCTCTGTTCATCCCCAGTCATCTTTAGGGGATCCAGGGGCACCCCTTTTTGAAGAATTTCAAGGCCCTCAACCCTTAAGCCCCCAACCCTAAGCCCTATAACCCCTGTGAGCCAGAAGTCTGAGCAATTACCATTATCATGCCTTCTTAGCCCTCATATCATAAATCTATATGGTGCCACACACCCTCGAAACCCGCTGAAATTGTTTGGGCACCGACATGCAGACCATACAAAACTCGACATTATTCTAGGCACTGTTTTATATTTTTGATTTTTCTTTTCCATTTGATTCTCCCCTATGAGAAACCTAAACATCCCCACAAACCCTCTTAAGGGACATAAGAGTATGAGTAGCCCTTTTCCAATGTTCAAGCCCCTGTTCACACATGTCAATGTCTCAAAGCTTCACACCTTAAGATCTGAATCATGCGGTGCTTCCCATTTCTCTGTCAATTTTCCTATGTACCTAAACCCTAAACCGTGTGGTAAAGCTCCTCCACATCTCTGAAAGCTTCATACCTCTGCAGGCAGAGCAGGCAACTAAGCGTCGTCGCCAGAGCGTCAGCCAGGCAGAACTCGCTGAGGTGGTTGCTTTGTCTGTATTTGCGGAGCTTATAGTAAGCCCCCCCATAAGGTAGTTTTCCTAAATAAGGGGACCCCAATAGACCCCCAAATATTATAATCTTTATCATGGGGGTTTGGGATTTGGGTAAGGTGCGTTGTCGAGGGTGGAGCGTCAAGTTTGGCTGTTTTGGTGGTTTCTGCAAGTAGGGCCTTCTGAATGACTTTGAGGGTTTGGCTGTAGAGTTTAGGCCTTAGTGCAAAGAGATAGCTTGGTAGACACCCTGTCATGTAGGAACCCCAAAATCCCAAACCTCCTGGAAGCAAGGAACTGGGCCGATCGCGTAGCAGTGGTTGTTGTGGGTTCCCCTGCTCCCCTGGGTTTTGGTTTTAGGGGTTAAGGTTTTAGGGGTTTAGGGTTTAGGGGTTTAGGTATTTAGGGTTTAGGATTTAGGGTAGGGCTATTCAAAGCTATTTCAGGGAAAGCATATGAAGGGGTAGTAGGGGAACCCATGATATGCTCTAGATGCCTTAGCTCTCCAATCGCGAACTCTTGAACATCTCAACCAGAGCCCCAATCCTAACGATCCTTCATCTTGCACACTTCAACCCATGCGGTTAGGGTCTAGGGTTTAGGGTTTAGGCTTTAGGGAACTTTTAGCTCCTTCTCCCTGGATCTCTACGTCTATTGAGAAGGAATGCTTTGGGCCTGAAAGTCTCCACGTACCTACTTTGGGCCATTTGAAGCCCTAGGGTCGCCCAACCTTACCCGCTAAATCCTAAACTCCCAAACCCTAAGCCCGAAGCCCTGAACCCTAGACTCCCCAGCCCTAAGCCCTACACCCTGAATCCTAAATCCTAAGCCCCCAAGCCCTAAGCCCTCGAGTTTAAAAAGAAGAGCAGAGGTCAATGTAGCAGCGGCAGCTCTTTCAGCGCCTCGCAGGCAAAGCCTGCAAGCGGCGGGGCCAGACTCTGAAGCAGGTGGTGAAGGGTTTAGGGTTTCGGGGCTTAGGATTTCGGGGCTCAGGGTTAAGGGTTTAGGCTTAGGGCTTAGGGTTTAAGGTTTAGGGTTTAGGGAGGATTTAGGGGCTTAGGGTTAAGGGTTTAGGATTTGCGGATTTAGGACAAAAACTTCACTTCTGAATTTAAGGCTCAGGGTGTGGGGTTCATGGTTATCAGGAGTTTGCGGCAGGGATAGAAGGGGAAGTGTACGGAGATGTTCTTTGGGACGGGTAAGTTGTATAGGGATCATAAAGGAGTAGTGCAGAAGAACAGGATGCTCTAAACCTTCAACTCTAAGCCCCAAACAACTATATGGGGGTTTCCCCAAATTAGGGGTACCTTTTTGCGGGTCCCAATAATAAGGATTATAGTATTTTGGGGTCTATATTGGGGTCCCCCTGTTTTGGTAAATTACCATATATTGTGGTTATATAGGGGTGCTATAGGGGTTACGTAGGGTCGCGCCATGGTGGTCTTGTCACCCAGTTTAGAGTTTAGGTGTCTAGGGTGTAGGGTCTAGGGTCTTGTGACCCTTCTGTGTCCCCAAGGCTCCCTGGTCTCTCAACATCCTGCAAAGGAGGTTTTTGACAAGACGCCTTGACTTTAGCTTGTGTTTAGAGACTTGTTAGATGATATCATGCTGGTAGAGATTCTGGTTTTGAGTGATTTCCGTGACTTGATTTAACCTTGGGCTCATAACTCATAGCCTAAGCCCTTCACCCGAAACTGATTTTGTGTGACGGCACCACCTCTTGCCAGGTGAATCTGATGCAGCATCAGCGCTACAGGGCAAAGCAGATGTTCGCCTGGCGGATGTACAGCAACGAGTGCGGCAGCTCTTGCTGACGGCGCTGCGCACATGGCGAGCCAGCTGCTTCGGCTCTGAGAGCATTGGGCATCTGCTTGAGTATATCGAAGGGAAGATTAACAAGTTCGAAAGCGATGTGGGGCAGATTCAAAATGCCGCTGCTGGCGCAGAATGGCTAGCAATCAAGCTGGCAATTGATGGGCTACTGCATGGTGTTGCACTGCCAGAGGAGGAGCAGGCTGGAAAGGTTGCCTTTCAGCCCCAGCTGGCAGACACGGCGATGCGACGACAGGAGCGGCAGAGCAACATCCAAGGAATTTGCTGGAACCGAGACCCGGCTCTACTTGCTGGTGGTTAGTAGGCAATAACGTAAAACAATCCTTATGTAATCCCCATATATAACAAATTTCCGTATTTGCTACTAACCACCGGTAAGCTTAGACTTCAGGGTGTGAAGTTTTCATGAGAGCTTGGGTTGCATATGAGCCATAGTCTATACTCCTTGAAAGCGGATTATTTAGGGCAGTATATAGGGGAGTATTATAGGGATGATTAAGCGGGATGCCAGGAGTTTAGACCTTGAACCCTCAACCCCAAGCCCTAACAGGCTCAGACCTACAGCTCACATTGAATGCATGCTAGAATAAGCCATGATCTAGAAGAAGCCAAGGCCCAAATCTGAGCCCCTGTAACCTTTGTTGGTGTATAGGGTTTAGGGTTTAGGGTCGATAGGGTTTAGGGTTTAGGGAAGAGGGTTTAGGGCATAGGATTTAGCGTCTAGGGTTTGGGGTTTAGGGAATGCCAGAACCTGATCCAGAAGGCACCACATTGGAACCTCCTAAGTGCTTTCAAGGACAACGGCGGGCATGGGCACTTGCGGGTGGTGAGTGTGGAATGAAGGAAGGGAACAGGAGCTATAGTCTAAATTCCTTAAAGGGGCTTATACAGGGGAGTTTGTAGGGTTCCTGATTTAGGGCTTGTTCAGGAGGATTCTTGGAGTTTAGACAATAGCTCACAGGTAGCTACTATTTCCACTGCAGGGGTTGTTAATCCATTTCTCCATGCCTTACTCCCTACCAGCAATCAGCAAGTAGGGTTTCGAGTTTAGGGTTTAGGGTTAGCAACTAGGCCTTCTACCAGACAAGGAAGCCCCCAGCGGCTAGTGAAGAAGCCTGAGTAATCTGGGTTGCTGTTAAGGAACCTGATTTACGCTGCCATATTGGGGAAACTATACGAATTATTATGTGTACCCATTATGCTAACTCAATTTAAGTTCCTTAACAGCAACCCAGTAATTCCTAGTACCTTCTGCGCTTAACCTTCAGACTGTAACAATCTACCGTAGCCTTGCACATACCTTCCTGCCTCCAAGAGCTTGCCGAGCTTCCCTGCAACTCTTGGTGCGCAAGTGGAGTATTACACCCTGATTCCTAACCCAAAACCTTAGGGTTTGGTAGGGGGTATATAGAGATAAACCACTCTCCCACTCCCCCCATTTACATTAGTAAGACAATCACAAAACCTTAAACTCCTACCGCTCAAGCTCGAAGTAAATAGAAAGTGTGTAAAGGCATACGGCCCAAGCGCATAGGCCTGCAAAACGCTCGTACATGAGACCCTCTGAAACTTCTACAAAAGTTGAAGCCCTGCATCCTAAGCTCCAATAAACCTGAAGGTCCAAGGAACCAAATAATAGGGTTTTAGGGTTTAGGGTTTAGGGTTTAGGGTTTTAGGGTTTAGGGTTTAGGGTTTAGGGTTTAGGGTAGGGCCCACATACTGTACTATAAATGGTATCTGGACCGAAAGCACTATGATTTTGGGTCCTTGGGCCCTTAGGGTAAGCTTAAGGCCCAGCCTAGGATTCAACATGACATGGCAGCTGAGCCTCCGGGAGAATGGCAAGAAGAGGTTGATCTTATTCCCCATCTCGAAGAACCTGGCCTGAAGTGAGATCATAGGGTTTAGGGTTTAGGATCTAGAGGCTTTGGGAAAGTCAAACCCTATAGAACCCAATATATATAGTAGTCTCCATTTTCTTTTCCATTATCCCTAAATAGCCCCTACATAGCCCCTATATAAACAGTTTACGGTTTAGAGATTAGAGTTTGGGGTTGACGGACGTTATTCCGATAATAGAGAATCACACGGAAAGGAACATGAAATGGAAACTAGGGATGCATAGGGTTTATGAGAACATGTCATGTAGTGTTGAGGGTAGTACTGGAGTATCTGGTAATCCAACACCTAGGACCCCATCACGGTCACATGATAGTTGGTTTTTTTCATTTGATTCCCCGTTCTGAGAAACCTCCCTAAATGTCTCCATGAAAACCCCCGTTGTATTCCCATTTATCCTTAAACCCCAACCTTAGACCCTAAGCCCTAAACAACATGCCAAGTCCTTCGCCCTAACTCGAAGCAGAAGGTTCCTCAAGCAGGGGCTGGGGGAGGATGCCTCCATCGAAGGAGCTCTTGAGGTGAATTGGCTGCAGGCTTCGGGTAGGGTTTAGGGTTTAGGGTTTAGGCTAGATTGGTTAAGGGTTTAGGGTTTAGGGTTTAGACGTCAGGGTTCAGGGCTTAAGAGGTTTGGGGTGTAGGGTCGAAATTAGGTTTCATGGTTTTGGGGGTGTAGGCTTTTGATTATAACTGCCGGTCCCTTCTGGAGGGCAGGCCCAAGGGGCCCTTTTACATTGCCAGAGTTGGTAAGATAATGGCCCCTAAACACACAAAAAGAACCGTAAAGACGCTAATTTTACCCCCCAAGGTCGGCGGACATAAAACCCCAAGCCCTAAATCCCATAACCTTAACCTTAAACCCTAAACCCTCAATCCCATACCCTAAACCTTAAATCCTAAACCCTAAATAGTGGCTTCCATTTTTTTCTGTTATCCCAATATAGCCCCTATATATCACCCTAATATTACCCCCATAACCCCTTAAACCCTAAACCCTAAACCCCAAACCCTAAACCCTAAACCCCTTAAACCCTAAACCCCTTAAAACCCTAAACCCCAAACCCCTAAACCATAAAACCTTAAAACCCTAAAACCTATGTCTGGGGCCCAAACCCTAATCAAGGAGGCCAAAGCCCAGCGAGAGGAATTGGTACGTGAGGGGAGACTTCGGCCGGCGCAGCCTGGCTGTACGTTCAGGGCTTAAGGTTTAGGGTTTAGGGTTTAGGGATTTAGGGTTTTAGGGATTTTGGGTTTAGGGATTTTGGGTTTAGGGATTTAGGGATTTTGGGATTTAGGGATTTTGGGATTTAGGGATGTAGGGTTTAGGGATTTAGGGTGTAAGGTTTAGAGTTTAGGGAATGAAGATCCCCTGTTGGAGTTTCAGTCTTGAGAAAGCCTGGTCGTGATAATGATGACAATGCTGGAACTGACACAAGTAGAATGGCTGTTGGTAAAATCACAGGAAGAAGACAGAAACCATGAGAGCTCAGTAGTTCACTTTGTACCCAGCCCGTTGTTCTGGAATGCATCACTTGGAGGTGCGCAGAGATTCGCATTTGGGGCGTTGATGATTAGCTTCAGCCTTGCTAGAGGTTCCACAGGAGGGATCTGAGGATGGGGCTTCATGACAGATGACGGACAGTTAGTTAGGCTCCAAGCGATTCGGCAAAGGATGCTGAAGAGGGAGTTCAGATCCATGCGCATTTCACCTCAAATCCTTGAAAAGCGAATGGTGCAGATCACGCATGGCCTTACTCCTAAGGACATCAGATCACCGTGTGCTTTGAAGAACGGGATTCTATGCTACGAATAGATTTCTGGAAGTATTTTTCCTGACTAATGACATACCTTCCCAGTCGTATAGACGCTAGACATATTATGATCAGCGTGCAAGCAGGTAAGATAAATTCAGAAACCCTTGAGTCCTAATCTCTGCAGAGCCCTGCGGCCTCACGAAATCCCTCTGGCCCTAGGGACGCACAGCATACCTCCTGAGATCCTAGAACCGTAGACCTCTATCCTGAGATGTCTGAGGAAACCGCTGATCCCCAAGGCGTCCTCAGTACGGGGGGTCTGGTTTGACAAGAAGAAGCAGAAGTGGAAGGCGGGTTTTCAGGGTTTTAGACGTTTTGAGGGTTTAGGGTTTCAAGGGCTTGAAAGATTTTACAGATTTCACGGGTTTACAGGGTGCAGGGTTTAGAGTTGAGAAGGGTTAGTTAGGCAATTGTGCCATGTTCCTACAACATTAGTACTATGCCGCTGGGTGGGGGTGCCTAAATTAAAGCTGAAGGTCTAGGTCTATGGAGTAGAGTTTAGCGACTAGGGTCTGCCAATTCAGATGTCTATGGATTGGGGGGGCAATGTCTGAGCCGTTTAAGTGTTTAACACGGATTTTACACCCCAAACCTGAAACAAGAAGCCCTGAACCCTGATCCCCAAATTTTGAACCCAAGAACTCAAGTGCTTAACATCCTAAACATCAAACAAGATACCCTAAACCCTGAATCCTAAACCCTAAACCCTAAAAAGTTGTTGCCATTTTCTTTCCATTATCCCCATATAACCCTTATATAACTCCTATATATCCCTATATAACCCTAATCCCAGAACTCAACATTCTTCGCTACTGGCCTGTCAGGTAGGCTTCACCCATCCAGTCACGAAAAAGAATTTGCACTGCGGCTCCTTCCGGACACAGAAGGCCGGCCCAGTAGGATTAGGGGTTTAGGGTTTGGGGATTAGGGTTTAGGGATTAGGGGTTTAGGGTTTAGGGTTCAGGGTTCAGGGTTTAACAGGGAGGACCTCGGGGTTGCATGGAGGAAAGGAAGGAAAATGGAAGCCACCAGATTGTTTCGGGTTTAGAGGGTTTTTGGGTGTTTGTAAGGCAGGGCCTTAGTTTAATTGGACTAAGCAATACCCCAAGGACCCTGAACCCTAGCGCTTCTTCCTGAACTTGGAATTCAAGAGACCCCTCTCAAATCCTCACATATAGATGTCGCCTACATACCCCTATAGCCTCAGGCCCTTCATCTGCGACCCGAAGCCCCAAATCTCAACCCTAGAAGTTTTAATCCCAAACTCCTCAGGTATGCCAAAATACCCCTAACGTTATGTACTCCTCCACCCCCATCTGCTTCCATATCATACAGAACCTCCTCAACCCTAAGCCCTAAACCCTAAAACCTTAAACCCTAAACCCTGAACCCTAAGACCTCAACCCCAAGTCCTAAACCCCAATCTCCAATTAGACACTAAACCCTAAAACCCTAAACCTTAAGCCCTTATCCCCAAACCGTAATCCCTAAAACCCGAAAACCCCAAACCTCTAAACCCCAAATCCCTTCTAGGGATCCATGTATGTAAACAATCCCTACATTGGGCCCCAACATCTGTAAATATTACCTACATTAAGTTATTTGGATCCCTAAGACCCCTGCACCCCACACCCCACCCTAAACCCCTAAACCCTATACCCTAAACCCTAAACCCTCTACCCTAAACCCTTAAACCCCCAATCCTGTTGCCAGGAAGCCGAGACCAAAGCTCGAGAGATGGCCAAGCAATTCGGGCTTCAGGCCGAGACTGAGGTGGGATCCGGGGGTCATACGGTGGATACTCAAAATCCTGCATGACTCTAAATACCCTAAACCTTGGGAATTATGGTACTATGGTATACTAAGGTCATGCAGGATTTTTCGTATCAACAGTAGTACGAGGCGGTTTAGGGTTTAGGGTACTGGGGGAGTATATGGCTTAGGGGGGTTAGGGGGCTTAGGGGTCACATTTCGAGGCATGTAGAGAGAGATGGTTCAGGGAGTTCAGGGAGTGTAGGGGGTTTAGGGATCAGGGTTTAGGGTTTGGGTGCAGGCTGCTGCAACCTACTCACCTCTTGTCAGCAAGGAATTGAAAACCAAATGAAAGAGCAAATGGAAGATCACATGGAAGCTGGATAATATGGCTTAGGACTTGTGGTTTAGATTTGCAGGACCTAGGCGTCATGGGTTTCATCGGAGTAGTACGCTGTTATGGTTAAGGTTCTAGGGTTCTTACAGAGGTCTAGGTTTGGGGTGCAGGCTAAGGGTCTAAGTTTGAGGTTTAGGGTGGGGGTACTTGGGCATCTGATGCTGTTATCGTCCCACAATGATGGCGAACCAGATCGAAGGTACAATGGAGCATGAAAATTTCACTGAGATTGTACATTGGCGTATGGGTGTTGGGCTTAGCAGGGAAATTCTTGCAAGGCTAAGCAAGGGGGTCTGCAATTTGAAGAGATGGAAACAGTATCCATTGATGGCATTTCACGACTAGGGTTTTGGGGCTAAAGAATTCATTGTTATTATAATTGTTACAATTGTTGTTTTTACTATGGGCCACCTCAAAAACCGCTTATGCAGGTTCTCTTGCTCATGTTTAGCTTTGTGTTCCAGGATGTGCCTTGTGGGAAAACACCGGCTTGCTGAGCATCTGAGCATGGCTTCTAAGACCCGATACATTGGGTACTTCCCCCCCCCCTCAGTAACAGTTGGAGAATAAGTATAATATGTGCATATATAGCCCCTAAGAGGATCCCTAATATAGACTCTTACCTCATGGGGGCAGTACCCAACATAAACCCCAAACCCTAAACCCTAAACCCCTAATCCCTAAACCCCAAATCCCTAAACCCCAAATCCCTAAACCCTTAACCCTGAACCCTGTACCCAACCGATACATTTTATGTTGTTGACGGTTGAAACAGAGGAGGTGCACTGCCAGATTAACATGAAACTCATGAGAGCTAGAATCAATATGGGAGTTTCCTAACATTAGGGGTACCATTTTGGGGATCCCTATAATAAGGATTATAACATTTTGGGGTCTCTATTGGGGTCCCCTTATTTTGGGAAACTACCATATGCTACTGTCAATATTCACCTTATTAATGGGGACCCTTAGCAGTGGACATAGGGGTCCGTCCTGTAATTTAGTATTGTCTTTGATATACTCCCAAATTAAGGAACCCACGTCTGTGAATTATCTGAGTAACATTGACTGTAGGTCATGTAGGCCCCTTCCAAAGTCCTTGTTTGTGCAGGCTAGCGTGGGGAGCGTAGTTTCTCGACCTTGTTCTGGCAGACCTAAATTACTCCATTGTAGTTTTTGAAGAACAAAAGGTTCCAGAAGATGTACTACGAATGTGCGGATCCGCTGACGAGGCATCCCCGGTATATAAAGGGCCTTCAGATGCGGAAAGACATCCAATCTGATTACAAATTTTCCAGAACGCAAGCAATGAACACTGGATGTATGTACAACAGCCTATCTGTGTACACATCGTGCCTAAACCGCCTGTGCTTACATCCCTCGGCCCTGCGCCCTAGGCTGCTACTTACTTGGGAGCCTTCGAAACGTCATCAGTATATCCTGAACTCGTATTCCCACACCCTAAAGCCCTTAACCCAATTGCCAAGCCCCAATGTATAAACCCTAAAGCATACAGACCCTACACCCAAACCCGACACCTACCCGACTTAACCGTAGGTGGTGCCAGTGAAGAAGCTCTCGGAGCTGCGAAGATTCATGCCGATGGGGCCACAGAAGGGCGTGAGGCGCGCAGGTTGAAGGGGGTTTAGGGCTTAAGGTTGGTGTATTCTTTAGGTGGCAGAGTTTGGGTTTAGGTTTAGCATTCAGGGTTTCGGGCTTGGGAAAGTGTAGCCGCCTTCAGTTTTGCGGTTTTTTCCGATTGAGCAATAGTCCTTCAGTCAGTGTGCTGTATGCTTGCCCGGTATCCTTCAACAGATAAAAACTGAAAGAATGCCAGGAATCCCCATTGGGCGGACTGTGAGGGATCTTCCCCTGGCAAAGGTTGTAAGTTGCATGTGAATGGCCTTACTTGGCTTGGCATCGCACTTCGAATTCTTTTGCGCTTGTAGGTGGCTAAGTATCCTCACGTCAGCCGTGTTGGGCAAACTTTCTCCAGCCGTTTTGGGCAACCCCATCTTGCTTGCACATAATTAAGCCAGGTAGGAACCCCAACGAATACTTGTTGTTGATGCTGCTGCTGCTGCTGCCGCCTGTAGGAAAGATCCATACCCGATTCCATAATCCTGCATGGGTAGTTGCCGCACTGATGCCCTTCCACTTTCAAAACGTGGCGAGATCCTACCCTAATGCAGCACTTTTCATCTTGGGCCAAAAAAAGATCCCAATTGCCCTGAGGTGGAATCTGGGTGAGCAATGCTGGCACGCCACATGCGCGGTCAACGGCAAGACCCGGAATATGCGAGCCAGACCCAAGGACTTGAAGAGACATTGACGCTGCCAGTCACGTGCAATCGCCTCTAGACCTTTGCGTAATCCCCTGAACCCTCAAACAGTTATAGAAGACAGCCGAACAGCAAGACCTGAAACTCATTCTAAAAACATGAATTTCTACCAACAGAGTATCCTCAACCCCCTGTGCACCCAGAATGAGCCACTTCCAGGACTTCTCGCAGCAGGAGGTGGAGAGGGCTTGGCTGCTGGCAGCTGAATGGCGCAGGCAGCAGGAGATGGAGAAGAAACAGGCGCGGGCCGATCCGGTTTAGAGTTTAGGTCGGGATCTCCCGGAAGTAGGGGTTAGGGTTTAGGCGTTTAGGCTGTAAGGGTTTAGGGTGTAGTGTTTTGGGCATTTGTGGGGGATCCCTATAATGAGGTCTACAGAATTTTAAAGGTCTATAAATGTTTAGGCTTTATGCATTAGGGTCCTGATGTGAGGGCTTCGGGTTCAGGTCCACGACTTGACCTATTTCATCTTCAGGGCATTGCTTCATGGAGGGCTTGTGCTTCAGAAGCCCTTCTACGGTTTCATGTGAAGTAGGATATACAGGGAGTTCCTTAGGAACATTGGTGAGTGTATATGTTTGGTGTCCAA